TACACTTTAGTTGTAACGTATTTACACATTAGTTGTAACGTATTTACACATTAGTTGTAATGTATTTACACTTTAGTTGTAACGTATTTACACATTAGTTGTAACGTATTTACACATTAGTTGTAATGTATTTACACATTAGTTGTAATGTATTTACAGATTTGCAACAATCCCATTCTGTACAGTTTAACTTTCTGATTCAACTGCCTGTTGTTTGAACTGTTTGTTGGATGCAAAAGTAGTTTCCAATAGTATTTTGTTTTAAACCACCAACAGGAATGAAACAGGATTTATGACTTTCTACTTACCTTTTTAAGAAAATCTAAGGAGTAGAATGATAATTACTCTAGTAAAATATCTACTTAAGTATTTGTACATAGCTATGTTACATCGCTGCAAACTGCAGAGCCAGAAAAACTTTCTTGCTGTGAAGCATTGTATTAGAATCTTATCTGACACACTGTAAGAGAAAATCACAACTTGTTTTCTTTTTAAATTAAATAAATATTAAAAAACTAATTAGCTTTAACACTAAATTCTGATTTTATTTATTTTGGTGAATCTTAAACTGAAGTTTCTCTTATTTAGTTTGTGGAGCTGAAGGAAAACCAGTAGTAAATAAGGCAGTTTGTGCAGGATGCCACTTTGGCCCACAGCTGAAGCTAATGATGCTGGGTGTGATTTCAGAACAGCTGCTGGTTCCTGACAACAGATGTTCCACCGCCCACACACACCGGAACACATTCTGAAATATTGTGTAGAAAAAAACTTATACAATTACACAAMCACACCAATCAGGACTTAAACTTCACCGCAGCAACAAGATTTATTCAAACTTTTTATTTTTAAACTTGAGTCCAAAATCAGCTGGAAACACCGACCCAGTGTTCAGCTTTGATTTCYACCAGAAGTGACACAATCTGATTTGTCTCTGGTTGTTGGGACAATGTTTGAATTCAGAAAACTGGTTTTTAAACGTGTCAGAAACATCCGAACGCCACATTAAACCAGCTGCTGTCGTCGCTGCAGGTTTTTTTGTGGGGAAAAGAGTTGATTTGTGTCACGACRGCTCGTTGCTTCAGTGTTGCATCAGGTTGTTCCTGCAGCTCCTTTCAGCCTCAACTTCTTTATTTTGTGCAGTAAAACATTTCTTTAAAAGTTATTCCTTTAAATGCAAGTAATATGAAACAAAACAGCAAGTTAAAGCTCAGATTCTGATTTTAGTTTTTCTCATGGAAGCAATCAGATTTTTTTCTGAAGTCTTTTTAAATTTCTTACAAGACATTTAAAGTTTGAACAAAAGTCTCTGGTTTCTGTTTTTCATGCTGGAGTCTAAATACTGCCTTTATTCTGAAAAGCTGAGGTTTTGTTTTAATATGGAAGTTAAATATTCATTTTGACATTTCTCTCAGCTCATCTGTGGAACACATGGTTTCAGAAGACGCCCTTTCAAAATAAAAGATCAACCAATACAACAGATTCCCGTCAAACTGTATTGTTTACTCTGGGGTAAGCAGGTTTTATTTACATATAAAAATAAAAATAAGTGGAACCAGTGTTGTATAAAGTACCACAAAGTGATACATGAGTAAAAGTACAAGTATCTTACCAAAAAATTACTTCAGTAAAAGTTAAAGTCTCCTATTGGAATATTACTTGAGTAAAAGTCTTAAAAGTATCTGATTATTTTTGTACTCCAGTATTAAAAGTAAAAGTATTGATTTAAAATGAGCAGTTAGATTTTCTGTAATATTTATTAGGAGGTGACCTCCCCAAAAACTGCAGAAATTACTTTGTTGAATTAAAAATAATTAATTGTAGCTGTTTCAGTTTATATACATATATCAAGGCTGCACAAAGCTTTTCCCCAAAATGAAAATCTATCTGAGGGCTG